TCCGTGTTCGTTCTTGCCATTCTCGTGTTCTTGGGACTGCACTTTTGCAAGGTGAGTTGACTCTTCAACCTTGGGAACTACGCAAAAACAACGAATGCAGTCAAACCTATAATATCTCGGTAACCTTCACAGCCAAGTGCAAGTGAATAATGTTAGTTTAAGTGTTGGATCTATTGAATATGTTAGTTCTACCTGGGTTAATGTTCGTTCTAGCCGTTTCCGTGTTAGTTCTTGCCATTCTCGTGTGTTCTGTTGGCCATGTTAGCCCTACCTTACCTGCTTGTAGTTCTAGCTGCCCTCCTTTTAGTTCTATCCCTTCTCGAGTTAGTTCTACTGCGGGCTGGAGTTATTTCTAGCAAAAGTGTTTGCTCTGGTGGCCATGTTAGCCCTACCCTCACGCTTGTTAGTTCTAGCTGCCCTCCTGTTAGTTCTATCCCTTCTCGAGTTAGTTCTACTGCGGGCTGGCGTTATTTCTAGATAGCACAAGTGTGTGTTCTGTTGGCCATGTTAGCCCTACCTAACTGCTTGTTAGTTCTAGCTGCCCTCCTGTTAGTTCTATCCCTTCTCGAGTTAGTTCTACTGCGGGCTGACGTTATTTCTAGCACAAGTGTTTGTTTTGGTGGCCATGTTAGCCCTACCTCACGCTTGTTAGTTCTAGCTGCCCTCCTGTTAGTTCTATCCCTTCTCGAGTTAGTTCTACTGCGGGCTGGCGTTATTTCTAGATAGCACAAGTGTGTGTTCTGTTGGCCATGTTAGCCCTACCTAACTGCTTGTTAGTTCTAGCTGCCCTCCTGTTAGTTCTATCCCTTCTCGAGTTAGTTCTACTGCGGGCTGACGTTATTTCTAGCACAAGTGTTTGTTTTGGTGGCCATGTTAGCCCTACCTCACGCTTGTTAGTTCTAGCTGCCCTCCTGTTAGTTCTATCCCTTCTCGAGTTAGTTCTACTGCGGGCTGGCGTTATTTCTAGCACAAGTGTTTGCTCTGGTGGCTATGTTAGCCCTA